AAAACCTGTATTAGAACTGCTGTAATTTGCAATACACCAGCAGTGTGCGATTCAATTTCTTCTGTTTGTGATCGAGGGTGGACTGAAAGCTAAGCAGCTAGTAAAAGTACATTGCAAAGCAAAGAAATCCATGTATGTAAGTCAAGCCAATTAATGCTAAGGCATAATCAATCCTATTTGACCAGTGAATAAACTCACTAAGCAGCTAACAGCGAAGAAACTAGTTCCTCTATGCATGCAAGAAGAAATATATTGCATAGAGATTATGGAGCTTTTCTCCCTGTGCGTTTGTGGGGAAAAAAGCCCTATACTAGCTTCACATATGCTACTAAAGATCAACCTTTTGTATTTCCTTTACACATTTATTTTCTGTTCTTATAAGAGGCAATTATCTTCAGATAATAACCCAAGTGAGTTCTCTTGCCTAGTAGATCTGGGCAGAGAAACTCTTCCCTACACGTCTGTTTTCTTCCACAGGAATCCTAGTGATTACTGCTTTGCTAATTCAGGAGCTGAGCTGGAAAAGTAGCTCTGAGCATATTATACGTATGCTCAGAGATGATAGCCACCCTTGCTTGGGCAAATCCACTCTTACCCCTCTATTTTAATAACTAGGTTTCCAGTTCCTTGCCAGTTCCCAGTTCCTAGGTTCCTTGCCAAGCCTTATAGAAGGTGCCCTTGTACTGATACTTTTCCACACAGACATTTTTTTCTCAGGTATCTGTTTTTAACATTGCTTCAGATTTCCATTGCTACAATATTTGACTGTCTCAGTCTTAGATTATTTTTTTCCTTTTGGTTTCCATATGAAACAGAGAAGGCTTTTTTATTATTATTATTATTTTCAAATCCTAGTTGTCTGAGGAGAGAACAGAAGCTCTATGGCTCAGATTCCCAAACACAGTGAGATGCCTCACACCTGCATGGCAGAAATTCCTCTGTGTGTTGAAGGATCTGAGTGTGGCTTGGCTGGAATCACACAGAAAGCACATGGCTGACTGGGGAATCTGGACAATGAATTGGCCTCCCATGTGTCTGGTGAAAAAGGGCCTGGTGGGCATGCACTGAACAGCTGTTCAGCAGCAAGAAGTGAAGACAGCGAGCACGAAGGGTTTGGAGAGAGTGCTCCACCCCAGCCTAGGGTTTTGAATGCATCTAACCTGATTCTCTCTTTCAGCATGGCAGTACATTATGGCATGAACTGTTGTATTACACTCAGAGGAGGCAGATCATTGGAAGATACTAAAATTCAGAATAGAGTTGAATTTTCAGGAACTGTGAGGCAAAGGGAAAGGTAAAAGTATTCATACCAAACATTTTCAAGACCGATATACTGGTGTTTTCACTCCCAGTTTCTGACTTAGTGACAACAGTGTATGTGTATGAAGCAGTGACTTTTTCTTGAAGTTCACTGTTCTGACTGCACTTGCTGAATTAATTTTGTTAATCTTCACTTTAAGCATAAGAGCGCATCTACTACAGTCTTCACACACCTTGCTTTTCCTTCTGACCAACAAAATATTCCCTTTAATTATACTCCATTTAGCTGGGCTGTTTAAATTCTGAAGACTACATTGTAAAATATTAAATAAATTGCTATATACCAAGTTTTTAAAATAAGTTTCTGGAGCTTTGAACATGGGAATAAAGCTGTATGGACAATCTGATATTTTGATGGAACAAAAAGTTCAGTAAAAATGTATTGTGAAAAGCAAAAATAATATAGATAGATCCAAATATCTCTGTTGCACTTTCTCGCTTTAAGCCAATCTTTCGGAACCGTGATTCATCTTTAGAACAGTGACTCAGGCTATATAATCTCCACATATTATAGACTAACAATATTAGATAGACCCTATTAAAATTAACAGAACCTTCACTGAGCATATATTTTAGTCGCCTCTACCTCTCAGTCAGAAAATAAGAATGTGTATCTGGTGAAACTGTGTTTGGTACTCAGTAATCCTTTTAATTCAAGATCCATCTGTCCTTCCTTTTACTTCATGCACTTTCATCACTGAAAGAGAGTTCAAGGAAAATCAAGTTTTCAAAAATCTGATGTCTAAGAATGATTATGTATGTGTCTTGTGTTGCAAAACAGGGAAAAAAAAGCAGCTGAATATTTTGTGGCTTAATTTCAATATTCCCATCAGTGTATAAAGAACACAGTTGGATTTTAATTACTGTGTTAGTACAACCAAGATGATCTAAAGCTGATTATTTTGGTGTTTACTATTACTTGTTTCTTTAAAATAAAATAAAACCAAAATGATATTAATACATTTAATTACAAACTACTTGATTTCTTTATAAACTCTACTATAACTAGTTCCAATTAATTCCTAATTACTGCCCATAACATCTGGATATTGCAATAGTGTACATGCTCTGTAAAAACATACATTTAGATCAATCATATCCTGAAAGTTCACTGGATGAAACTAATACTCTGCCAAAAAAAGAGAAGAAAGTGAATGTCTGTGCTGATTCCACCCTAGCCAAAATGTGCACTAGGTGTGATGTTAGGTACTTAACAAAAGAGAAGAAAAACTCTTGTCACACTGGGAATCCTGCTCACAGTTTTGATCTTCAAAACACATGTTTAAAAAATGTGATATGAAATAAAAGGTGAATAGTAATATTGTTTTGCAGATGGGGAAAACTGAAGCATGGAGACTGAAATGTCAGACAGCAGTGCAGTGGCAGAACCAGTAATGAAACACAAATACCTTGCTCTGTCAATTTACTATACAATTTGGGCAGGTCCTTCTGCAGTGTTTCAGGCTGATAGAGGTTATGCCAACATTAAATCCACGCCTGCACCCTTGTGCAAGCCCCAAAGGCCCATGATACCCCTTTACTTGCTTTTGGAGCTCTCCTAGAGCCGCTGGAGCTCAGAGGGGAGGAGCTGCCTGCCTGGGGGTCAAACGGCAAATCACAGCTGAGAAGGGGTTTAACAAACAGTTTCTAGCTGCCTCTCAGCTGTATGATTCCTGGCTGAGTCTGGGGCCCATCTGTGCAGGCGTCCTCCTTCATTTCTGTCCTGGTAGCAGGCAGCTAGCTGTCCCTGCTTAGGAGCCGTGCTGCTAGCTGTGCCTTCCAAGGGGTGGATGGGTGCAATGTGTCCTTGCAGGGGTGACAGACACCCCATGGGCCCCAGCCGCACAGACAAGATTAGCACTAAAAGGAAAGTGGGAAAATGGAGTATCCACAGTGAATGCCTGGTTTGACAGCCGTGAACTGATCATATTTCAAATACCAGTGTCTGCGTTCATAATGTGGTGTGTTTTGTTTTTAACATCACTCTTTTCAAAGATGTTACTTCTAAGATTTTTTTTCCCTCCCTTTGGGTTCAAAACTTACAGTTGGCTTAAAATAAGCATGGATTCTTCTGCTTTTTTTGTCAGAATGAGAAACCAGTGACATGAACTCTTTTGTGATAGGCTCATCATATGATCTTTCCAATGTGGCCCGTAACAAGGGAGTAGTGGAAATTTTATGAGGAAGCCCATTAACTTTTCAACTTTGGTCAACCTTGTCATTGTGTGTATTTTATTCATGTCAACCTTTTTCCCACCCATCTTAGCTTCTCATTGACCCCACAAGTCAACAGTTGCTTGAAAATGTCACCTTGGAGGACAGTCTGTTACCAAATGACCACTGTTTCTTTTCGGTTTCTCCTTAGATCGTATTAAAATGCATTTCTTCTGAGGGCCACCAGTGCTAATGATCACCCCCTCTCCAAGAACATGTGAGTAAATAGCGCTAGGGTGTTGCTGTTCTTTATGTAAGTGGGAGTTGGACTGGGGACAGAGGAGGATAGTACTTAACCAGAAGACTGCTAGGTTGTTTTGGTAAATCCACGGTACTGTGTAGCTGAGTGATATTGTCTGTGTAATTTAAGGGACAGTTCTACTTGTGTCCTTGCCGTATGTGGCTGCACAGAAAATTGCTTCCCTGCTCCTGCTCACAGCCGCATGTATGCATGCAACATGTCTTCATCATGGGCTAGGCATAGAGCGAGGGAGGGGCATGGGAAAGGCTGTCTCGATGTTCCCATTTTTCCTTAGCAAGAGGAGGTTCCTGTGTTTGCTGAGCAGGGGAGCACTGCCCCAGGACTTCCTAGGTCTCCCGTTGAAGTGGCACCAGGATGTAACACTCAGCCCAAGGGCTATTCCCGGTAGGAAGGCGATGTGAGAAGGATGTTTTGCAGCACAAATACCAAAGCAAGAAGTGAATATTCTGACCTGAAGCTCAGACTCTTTTTGAGATGTTTTTCTTTGCAAAGCACAGGGGTGTTTCACAGCACCTTGGTGCTTCTTTGTTCATGGTTTCTCAGTGACTCCAGAGGAAATGTCTGGAAAGGAAAACCAGCTTTTGTCGCTAGCCTGAGATGTGAAGCTCTGGCCGGATCCCGTGTCATTTCAACATCCTCCTGGAAGGGGCAGCTTGTCTTTATTTCAAGCTGTGCACATCTTCTGGATAAAAATCAGCATAGCTGACTCCAGTGTGTGTGTATCGGTGACGAACGCAGCCTGTCGTCCTTACCTGATGCCCTCCTTCTCCAATGAGATGTACAGCTGGTGTATTACACAAGAAAAAGGGGACACACACACACACACCCCCCACACACATTGTCTTCCTTTTAGAAAAAATTTCCTGTTACAGGAAGCAGTATCCTCTCCTGCAGCAGCTTGGGGTACAGAATCTGGGCATCACCCGCGCCGATACCAGGAGCCAGGCACTCCGCCGCCCCCCGCCCCGCAGGGCCGCTCCCCTCAGCCCGGGGCGCGGGCGGCGGCAGAGCCCGGCTGAGATAACGGGAAACGGCGGGGAGAAGCCCCAGACCAGAGCTCGGAAATGCCGCGGGAAGCGACTTTTGAGAGAGAGAGAAAGGCAGAAAGAGAGGGCTGGGGGGCTGGGGCCGGGGTGCCCCCCCGC